TACACTATAGATGTGTAATATTATTTTATTGGAGAATACGTAATTAGAAATAGGAGAGAGAAAAATACACTTCGGATAAAATTGAGCTCAAACAGGGCTTATATATGTTTTACAGACTTGAGTGGGGTTAAGATATCGTATCCTACTCTTTCACAATTGCAGCTCTCTCGGGTACTTTTCTGGGTTATAATTTCATATTAAGTTATGTTCTTTGCTGCTTTCGTCCCAATGTTATCTTTCATAAAAATCTTAATTTTCTTATCTATGATTATGTTTGTGTTTAAACTGTTCAATTATTGCTAATGAGTGATTGTTGCCGGCCTCAATTTTTTTAAGAAAACTTATTTTGTTGTTATTTAAGCTGACTAATTCTCCAACTATTAGCTTTTCTGCTCGCATACATTTGCAGTTTCTGTTAGCAATTTTTTCTTCAGAATCCACTTGTTCCGGATTACTGTGCCTTCGTTAACTTCAATATCTTCTTTTCATCTGATGTGCAGAATCCCGTTGAAACATTATTTATTTATTTCCATTTTTTGAAGGTGAGATTCATTTCGTCCCACGAAAAACATGCCGAGTAACACTAAGAAGATTCTGATGGTCCAACATGCTTCAGGAATACTCGATTTCAAATTCATCAGAAAAACCATAAAATCACTTGGGCCTAATGACAAAATCACGGTTCTTGCAATTATACAGAAGACATCAGGTACTCTTCACCGTGAAATATAGAAGGTTATATTCATTCCTTTGCTACAAATAAATTAGTGTTTGTAAGAAATGAGAATATACGTGTCAAAATGACGAGGTCCATGCTACATAGTTGTCCCAATTATTGTCAACTTTATCATTGTTACTAACGTACTATTGTGTGTGACACAATTTTTTATCGGAAAGACAATAAGGGAAAGCAAGACGTTAAGGAGAAGCTAGATGAATATTCAAAGTGTACAGATATCGCAGAGATTAGGATACTAGCTCAAGCGCGGCAGGTTATCGACAACAGTGTTTCTTGCAAATACCCCACTCCCCACACTTTAGAATTTTTGGCTAAATTATCAAGTTTTATGGATTGGTATATGTATATAGGTTGAATTTAATGTAGCAGTTGAGGCAGGTTCGCCGAATGAAGTTGCAGTCGAATATGCTAAGAAATTTGAGGCAACGCGCGTGCACCTTCCATGGTATTGCGCTATTTTCATCCTGAAATATATTTGAACCATTCTTAGCAGTTACCAGTCTTAATGTTTATATATGTTGATAAATGTGTTGCAGGAGTTTCTCAATCATGCAAGAAGAAGAACAAAATCAAGAATACTCCAGTCATAACTCCCTCGTAGAGAGACTATTGCTCGATAAGCTAGCAGAATTTGTTTCCTCTGGACCTCAATTATCTTCAACAATGGCTGATAGAGGTATTCGACTATGCTCCCTTATTGCCTTTTTGACTTTTGAGGTATTGTTTAGCCTGAGCACGTATAGAACCTTTGGTTATGCCTCAACGAAAATCTGATTACCTTCTGGGAGGTCTACGCCCCATATATACTACTTACCTGAGATTATCCAACATTAGCTCGTAGGCACTTTGTGTTGCCCAGGGCATAAGAGGCTTGATGACTTCCACGTCATCTTCGCTCGTATTTGTCATTGCAGGAAAAGGTCACCCCAAAATCCGGCCACTTGCTGAGGATCCCCCAGAGAAGATTCGTGCTAGAAGGGTTTCTGGCGCAAGTTCAAGCGTTCTACCTCCACGAAAGTCACATCGTTTCTGGCGTTTAAAAGGGGTCTCTCCCAGTGTCTCTTCTCTTCCTTCAAAGAAGCAAATGGTGGAAGATCAGCCGTGCAATGTCAAACACCCGGACTTTGATGATGACCTTGAGACCTCGGACACAGCCCTCGGGATGCTTCCCTATCCTATATCCGACGTTATTGGCACTGTCAGCAAGTTCTGGGTTCAGAAACACTCCGAGAATTTGCAGGGGTTCGAAGACAATCAGGTCAAGAATGGAGCCCTTAGCTACATGGTGAAGGCCATGGTATATACCATTGAAAACAACAACAGGACTTCTAAACTTTTGAGCGAAACCGAAGGTTTAATTGATAAGAATGCGAAGCTGCAAGAAAAGATTGGTGAGATGCAGGACGAACTGAAGAGTTTAAAATCCAAAATGCGGACTAGGCTGAAAAGACGGGATGGAATTGTTAGGCTAAAGGCTAAGATCACGGCCCCGGAGGAGAAAACTGAGAAGGCGAAAAAAGAAGCTACTGAGGCTATAGAGAACTTTAAGGAAACAAAGGAGTACAGAGCTTTGAGGGAAGAGTTATACCATCAAGGGGCAGCTGCAGTGATTGAGTCGGTCACCGAAGCTCGACCTGATTACGACCTCAGCTTCTTATACTCCTCCTGCGAGGATGAGGACAAGATATCAACCGACGAAGATCTTGAGGATTGGAAATCAGCGTAGAATTGTTGAAACGAGAGATTTATCCACCATGAAACTACACATTTATTCGTCACTTGTTTTATTTACTTGTCGAACAACCTTCTAGTTTCATCGAATAAAAGAACACATACTCCGTTAAATTTTTCATTTTTCGCTTTCAATAAATGTAATATCTTTCATTATCAACAAATCTACATACATCTTATCATAACTTTCTTGAATTATGCCCTTGTTTGATTCTCATTATTCTTAAAGTGTATTTCTCTCTTTTTTCCAACCACACATTATTCAATAAAATAATATTACACGTAATCCCAAAACTTTTTCTTATTTTTCAATCACACATTCCCCATCAATCTACTATTTCAAAATACATTTTTAAGGGAAAAAAATGGGGTTCAAACATGCACATATGTATGCTCTTGTTTGAATTGGGCAAAAATCCATTTTTGAATAGTGTTTTGCTGGAGATTGTGTGATGAAAAAATAAAGAAAATTTTTCGATTTATGTTTAATATTATTTTATAAAACAATGTGTGGTTGAAAATGAGTATCAAAAATATGATATATGTTGTAAAAGGAAAGTAAATTAGGGTTTAGTGTGAATAACACTTGTACCCCTGCAGCCCTCGATGTTATTACCATATGTATCCTTATTCATTCCCTATAAATATAGGGCTTTAATTCTCAGTATAATACAATAAGT